CTTTGTTCCTTAGGTCCGCCACTGCCTATACATGCATTATTTTAAGCTCAAACATGTTTACATATAATAATAAAAATAATAGATTACCTTTATCAGTTTTTGGGTCCTGAGAAAGCAGCACCAGATGGCTCTTGATATAGGAATTTATGTAGACCAAATTGAATCTACTGCACATCTCCTGAACCTTAATGTGACACATAGGCCATACCCTTACACTACACATAAAACTTTAACTAAGTCCTAAATTATCCCAAATTTCAATAGTGCATTGTGCATGACTTGCCTTACTCCTCAGTGTTGCTTGCAAGCACATCTTCCTAACCCATCCAGTAGTGTTATCACTCAACGTCACAGTTTTATTTCTTGCACTCAGGACTGGTCACTTTTCTCCACTCATTATCTCTTTGGTGCCCAGTTTCCTCACCTCTGTGTATTTCTTCTGCCGCTGAAGAGATGTGAGAGGACCCAGTGTTGCCTCCACCAACAGAAAGGGTCCACGTCATGCAATGTCACATCCAGTAACATGACATTGGAAGAAGGACCTTGCCAGACCTCAGCCGGGTTAGCCCCCCCCATATCAACATTTTTTAACAAAACATATGCAGTTGGTTAGATCTTTGTTAGATCAGGTTAGATCTCGGTTGTTTGCGTTAGATCTCACACAGAAATAGAGATATTAACAGTTATTTGCAGGGGGGCTAACCCGTCATCAGCCCCCCCTTATCAAAAAATTCACCAAACAGTTAGCTATTTTGGAAGATATTTGTTAGATCCGGTATGATCAAGTGGTTTCAACGTTAGATCTCATATAATTACAGAGATATTTCACATAAAAACACAGATATTAGGTGGCATTATATGGGGGAGCTAGCCCCCCCACATGCAATTTTCTGGTAAAATTTCATTAACTGTTTTATCAGGCAGACTAGTGGGCTCCCTGCAATATGGCTGTCTAGTAGTAGACAGGGGGGTAATAGCTGGATAAGATGAGGCAAACCTGATTAATAAAGTGTTGTAGTGAGAGGCTGGGGTGAGTGATTCAGTCTGTGCTAGGAACATGCTGAGACTGGTAGCTGAGAATACAGTTCACTGAACAGCCAGAAGGCTGAAGGTTTTGTTGCAACTTTGTGTTCGAATAACCACTGTGAGGGTGGACTTTGATGCTTTATTTTGTTCCCTTAAGCGCTCTTTGCTGTCTAAAATTCCTCTCAGGGAGTTCTATGTTTGAAGCGGACCCCTCACATTATATTCTCTTTGCTGAACGTAACATGTCATCCTGTGCTAGGATTGATGCCAACAGCACCCAAAAAAACAAGCAACAATGGTTTGTCAGCAACAAAAGTAATCGTTCTGCTCTAACTTACTGTAGGGTCTGTTTCTTTGTGTTTTTGGCACACAACAGTAACATACTATCTATAAAGTAATACACTGACAGAGAATTAGTTCAATCTTTGTGTGCTCATGAAGGTTTCACTACATTACAGTGATCATAACAGAACTAGGTAATATGTTCTATGTTAGGGAAGGCTTTTTTCCAGGTATTTCAACTCTCCTCTCTCCTACAGGCCAAAGAACTACTGGTAGGTTAATTGGCTTCTGAAATGGGCACCAGGCTGTGTGTTTGTACTTTAGTGGAAGGAAAATTAGATTACAAGCTCCAGTTGGGCGGGCTTATGTCTAATTGAAATTTGCTGCTTGTAAATGGTTGTATAATAGTTCGGTCTAATACAGAAAAAAAAAAAACTATGATAGCAAAGAACAGTAAAATGTAAACAAGATAAAAATCATTAGGGATTAGATCTGAATAAAACATAGGCCTTTATTTAATAATGCAGTGTACAAAGTGTAATAACCCATAGCAGCTAATCAAAAGAAATTCTATTTACTTTTATTTATTTTATTCATTTATATAACACCGAAAGATTCTGCAACACTTTGCAGAGAACTTTGAACCATTTGCTCTATTGCTTGCCCACAAAGGAGCTTGATATATAATGTGACTAGCTTGGTCCTACAGAAAACCACCCTAGCAAACGGATTCAACAAAAATGTGTTAATGTGATTGCAAATAGCAGTCACAAGTGCTTAATTTACATACGCATTAGTGAACAATTTTTTTTTAAACTTGGTTTAAATTCTTTGTATATTTATATGTAAAGAAAAAGCATTGACCTTGTGGTGTGTTGACTAATAATTATAGCGCAAGGTTCTAAATTCAGTTAAATTATATAGGATATAGATATATATCTATATATATAGATATATATCTATATCCTATATAAATAAACTG